ACTTAACCACTACAGTTAATACTGTAAAGTCACTAGAAGTGCTATTGTGAGGTTCCATATTTGTTGTAAAGTTTGAGATACAAAACTTGTAAACTGAGCTAGTTTGTCTCTGCCAACCCTGCAAACTCAGCCCAGGGAGTAGAAGTCAAACAGCATTCAATTTGGATACAGGATACAAATATATTATAATCTGATTTAAATTCCACAATTCTGCTGCTGATGCAGAGGCAACAAGAGAACCCAACTTAATCCTGTAGCTTTGCAGCAACTAGTGTGTAAAAAGTCAAAAATATCACAGCACTGAATTCATGTAGGATGTAGATCACAGGAGTAATAATATTTATCCAGCTATTTTCATACAGTTGATCTAATTTGTTTTTTAAACAAACCAACTTGTCTATACTTAACTTTCATCTGCTGGAGTTAAAAGTTAGTTAGCATAAATGAGTCTACACAGCAGTTATTTGTTATATCAGACAGAATCAATATGTGGAAATTTTCCATGTACTAGATTTAGATACGATATTATGACTAATACTGGCAGTTTTCATCAGTGTTGGCATACAATACACTTCCCTACAAATGAGAATAAATTAGCATGCAGGAGATGTTTCAGAGTAACAGCCGTGTTAGTCTGTATTCGCAAAAAGAAAAGGAGTACTTGTGGCACCTTAGAGACTAACAAATTTATTTGAGCATGAGCTTTCGTGAGCTACAGCTCACTTCATCGGATGCATACCATGGAAACTGCAGCAGACTTTATATACACACAGAGAATGTGAAACAATACCTCCTCCCACCCCACTGTCCTGCTGGTAATAGCTTATCTAAAGTGATCATCAAGTTGGGCCATTGCCAGCACAAATCCAGGTGTTCTCGCCCTCCACCCCCCCACACAAATTCACTCTCCTGCTGGTGATAGCAGCAGGAGATGTGGCATTTCACATGGTACCTGCAAACAAGCTGAGATTTTTTTTCCCCAGTATGAGAAAGTTTTTGGAAGAGTCCCACCATGCACACTAAGGTTTTCTTTCCCTGCTCATGCAGAACCTCTTACACAGCATGTACTAATGTTTGTTAGAAGCATACGTTCAAACTTAGACCACAGTCTCTGGCATGAAAGGAACATGGATGAAACTTGGCTCCCAAAGTAAGTTTGACAAAGTACATTTTTATAAGACTTGGAAAGGAAGTGAGCAATTGTTTAATTTATTGGATTTTTTTTAAATCAGTGAACGGTTATCTTGTTATTTAAAGACATGCATTGCAGAATTGGTTTAATGGGAAAGACTTTGCCCTGGTCTACACTAGGACTTTAGGTCGAATTTAGCAGCGTTAAATCGATGTAAACCTGCACCTGTCCACACGATGAAGCCCTTTATTTCGACTTAAAGGGCTCTTAAAATCAATTTCCTTACTCCACCCCTGACAAGTGGATTAGCGCTTAAATCGGCCTTGCCGGGTCGAATTTGGGGTACTGTGGACACAATTCGACGGTATTGGCCTCCGGGAACTATCCCAGAGTGCTCCATTGTGACTGCTCTGGACAGCACTCTCAACTCAGATGCACGATTGTCTGCCGTTGCTCTAACGCAGGGAGGGGCGACTGACGACATGGCTTACAGGGTTGGCTTACAGGGAGTTAAAATCAACAAAGGGGGTGGCTTTACATCAAGGAGTATTTCAGGCAGGACTTCACGGAGGGTTCCAATAAGAAATGGTGCACCTAAGTTATTGTTCTTATTGGAACAAGCAGGTTGGTCTGGCCTCTGATTGATACATGGCTAGATTTACCTTGCTGCACCTTCTCTGTGAGTGACTGCAGTGTGACCTAGAGGAATGAGTCCCCTAGACGGGGGGTGGGGGGGGGTTGCAAATGAGTACAAAACAAATCTGGTCTATTTCTTGTTTTGATACACTCCATCTATCTTTTATATCTTTGGCTGGCAGCAGATGGTGCAGAAGGACTGCATGCCATCTGCATCTCATGGCTGCCCAGCAGAAGACGGTACAATAGGACTGCTAGCCATCCTCATCTCTTGCCTGCACGGCAGAAGATGGTACAAGAGGACTGCTAGCAATCCGTATCGCTTGCCTGCTCACCATAAGATGGTTCAATAGGACTGACTGCAGGACTAAAGAGAATGACCTGATCAAGTCACTCCAAATTTAGTCCCTGCGCCCATGTCTGTCCAGGCGCTCCTGATCGAACTGACAGAGGCGACCAGAAGCACCTCGTACATGATGATGACGGCTACCAGTCCTACTGTACCATCTGCTGCCATAAGGCAATAGGTTGCTGCTGCTGTGTAGCAATGCAGTACCACGTCTGCCAGCACCCAGGAGACATACGGTGACGGTGAGCGGAGCGGGCTCCATGCTTGCCGTGGTATGGCGTCTGCACAGGTAACTCAGGAAAAAAGGTGCAAAACGATTGTCTGCCCTTTCTTTCACAGAGGGAGGGAAGGGGGGCCTGATGACATGTACCCAGAACCACCCGCGACTATGTTTTAGCCCCATCAGGCACTGGGATCTCAACCCAGAATTCGAATGGGCGGCGGAGACTGCGGGAACTGTGGGATAGCTACCCACAGTGCAACGCTCCGGAAGTCGACGCTTGCCTCGGTACTGTGGAAGCACTCCGTTGAGTTACTGCACTTAATGCACTTAGAGCATTTTCTGTGGGGACACACACACTCGAATATATAAAACCGATTTCTAAAAAACCGACTTCTATAAATTCGACCTTATTCTGTAGTGTAGACATACCCTAAGTTAATTGTATCCAGTTTGCAAATTAATTCCAATTCAGTAGTCTCTCAATGGAGTCTGTTTTTGAAGTTTTTTTGTTGAAGAATTGCCACTTTTAGGTCTGTAATCGAGTGACCAGAGAGATTGAAGTGTTCTCCGACTGGTTTTTGAATGTTATAATTCTTGACGTCTGATTTGTGTCCATTTATTATTTTATGTAGAGACTGTCCAGTTTGACCAATGTACATGGCAGAGGGGCATTGCTGGCACATGATGGCATATATCACATTGGTAGATGTGCAGGTGAACAAGCCTCTGATAGGCTGATTTTCTATGGGGGGGACACACACTCGAATTTATAAAACAGATTTCTAAAAAAACGATTTCTATAAATTCGACCTAATTTCGTAGAGTAGACATACCCTAAGTGAAAGAGGCAATAAACAAATGAATGTGACGCGTCTAGAGTTAACGAAGAGCAAAAAAAAACCCCGGAAAATGAGATTTTCCATAAGATAAAAACAATCACCAGTGTTTATTGTTAAAATTGCAAATATCCTTTTACACCAACTGCTTGCAGGGGTCAATTTGCTGCTACAAAACTACCCTACGTTGTACTACTGGCGTCTTGCAATCACAACATAACGGCATGAATATGCAGCAAGCAAACAGATGCACCTTTTAGGATCATTTCAAAGGAAAGAAAGGCACGGGAAACCCTAGCCCCGCGGAAGGTGTAAATAATCCCACCTCAGCAGCAACACAAGTACAATCGATGCACTCGACCCACGCTGGGAGACCTAGTTCTTCACACCTTGTGCAGCCAGATGCTCGCCTCCTGGGGCAGAACAGTCCCCGGAACTACCAGCAGCCTTTCCGCGAGCCCGATGGAAAAAGCCGCTCGTCTTTTCACACGCTGCCAGCCCATCCCCCAGGCTCCGCCAGCCTCCCACGCCCCCTTCCCCTTGAAGCTGCCCTGCCTTCCTGCCAGAGGAAGAGAGTTGGGAGAGCCCGCAGCTCTCCCCACCCGAGCGCACGGTCCATCCCTCGCCCTGCGGGCCGAGCCTGCGTCTATCCCACAACCTGCAAACTAGCCCCGCTGCCGAACCCCAGCCCATCTCAGCAATAAAAGGAGGGAGAGAGAAATGATTGTCCTTGAGAGGTCGGCGCTCGCTGCCTTGTAACGGGCATGGACAGCTCTTATCTGCAGTGCAATCTCTCACCCTCTCTGCACATCAGCCAAGCCAGGCAAATCCTGCATCAGCCACCGCCCGCCTCCCAGTCCCCTCACCTCCCCCATACATCCGAAGTTGGCCCTTCTGGACACACGTACCGGAGGCGAGGAATAGTGGTCGCCTCTCCCCCCCCTTTACTGCTGCTCAATGCATGCAACGTGGGCTGGTCTAATCAAATCTCAGAGTCACAAAAATATGGCTCCCTCCCCGATGCCTCCCCTCAGCCTGTTCCACCGGCTCCCAGCCCCCAGCCCTCCAACCAGACCCGGGGCCCCCGATTTAAATTACAAGACGCAGAGGATTGCTCCACGCCAAGCTCGCTCCGGCTGATGCAGGAGGTAAATAAGCACAGCAGCCCCTCTTGCATCTTTTCCCCAGTCTCCTCTCGTGCTGGTCTGCACTGCTTTCGCGTACAGCAGCCTGCTCCGGTGTAGGGGGTGTGGTGGGGAAATGTAAGCGGGGCAGGGAAAGAGCCTTACTCCAGGTATAAAACTGCTTTTATTACAGCTCCCTGAGTCTCCTCCATTCTGCAGCTAGGCTCCAGTGAGCAGGGCAGCGTTTCGGTGTGGATTAGATTGTGCTGGAATGAAGCTAGCTATCAACAAGCGTTAACACGCTCCAGTTCCAGCAGCTGGGATCTGGAAGGGTCACTCCATGCATCTGGTCTGTCTTTTGCAAAAGCCCAATCACCGGAAAAGGGATCAGGGGCGAAAGCTGAGCCGAGCCAGCCTTGAGCTTCCAGACAAGATTCCTCTACCAGGTTCAAGAAAATTCACCCGTCTCCTTGCGAGGCTGAGTGCAATGCAATAGCTACACGCAAAAGACAGGTGGAGGTTCATTCCCCTGCAGATCCAGCGCTCCCTTTGCACCGCCAGGCTTCGCACTGGCTTTCTGCATTCCCACTACTCAGCCCGTGCGTACAAGGATTATCCCCTTGGTTAAAAAAAGAAACACGAGAAATTCCATGCAACGTGCAATAGCAGGAGAGGGGAAAGGTTCCTCAGAGGCTCCTACCGGGACAGGCGTTACTGTTGCATTGCAAAGCGCCTAACCCCTGCAGTTCGCTTCCTTCCCCGCTTCCTTGCCTGCCAGTGCCGCCTGCTCCTGCGCTCTGCTCCTCCTCAGCCGCTTGCAGCTGCTGCTCACTCCAGGCTCGGAGCCCCCTACCCAGGGAGAGCAGGAAACGCGTCATCACTCTGGGACTGGTCTGCCTTCCTCCTCCCGACCATGCTGCCGCCTCCTCCTCCCCCTAGCTGGAGCAGGGACCCCCCGCACACGCCCGCACCCCACCCTGGCACCTCCCGAGCGCAGCAGCAGCTTCTCCTGCAAGGGCAGCTGCCACAGAGACATCACCTCTCCCCCCTCCTCGTTCAGTGGATTTAGGCAGCAAGGTCCCCTATCGCCCTCTCTTATCTGCGAGTGAGGATATGGGGGCAGCTGCTACAGCGACCCCCCCCCCATCCCACTCCACCCAGCTGAGAGGTGAGCAAAGGGGACCCAGACGAAAAAAATCCATTGATCCTGCTGGCTGGTGGGAAGGGGGAGGTCCGTGCTTCCAGCTGCAGTATGAACCTCTCTCCCCCTAAGAACAGGCTGCCCTCTGTCCCTCCTCTGGGCAGGGCAGCTGGCACTAGGAGCTCTGCCCCCGTTGAAGATGTGCCCCTGTTCAGTCACAGCTGCCAGTGGCCCTGGGATAGTTTTCAGGAGGGAAGTAGGTCAGGGCATGGCTTCGTTTCAGGGATGCGGAAAGCAGGGGAAAATAAAGTATTCTTTAAGTAGGGAAATCGATTTGTGGAGCAATTTCATTTACTGTTAGAGAAAATGCAGGGTTCTCCATGTTGGCTAGACACTTGCCCTCACCTTTACTTGTATCTATACAACAATACTGTATGTAAACCCAGGTAGTGCGTACCAGACTTTTAGTCTAAGTTAAATTACTTTTCTAACACTGCAAACTCTTACAAAGTGGGGTTAAATGGCTGAGATTGTGTTACATACTTAGATACGAGAGCAACAGGCATGTAGGAGACCCAAGACAGAGGTTGCAGGAATTCTCAAAAATTGAGGCAATGTTTCTACAGAGCTGAATTAAATTAATAGGTCCCTTTAAACTTCCTTCCCTGCCCTGGCACTGAGGTAACTATATTTTATTCTGAAACCAACCCAAAGGGCTAAAGAGCAAGTGAACCTAAACTTGAATTTTGCAAAGAGACCCACAAGGGCAGATTCTCTCCCATACAGAGCCTCGTTGACCTGCACCCTACATTGGTACAATTTACATTTTGTTCATCAAAAATCTAAAAAATGCCAACTTAGGCACCCCTGTACCTACACTGGAGGTAGGTCACGCCTCCTGTTTATTCATCACCATCTTAGACAGGAGCTTATGGGCCAAACAAAATTCTGTGCACTGGATTATTTCAACGTGACTAAAAATATCAACTCATTCAAGGCAAAACAGCTATTTATATTTGGTCATATTAAGCTTTTACACGTAGTACTATCTGGAAACTTGTTGTAACAAGCAAAACTAAGGGTTTGTTCTGCATTAACTCTACAGGTATAGGCCCGTTCGTGCAGGCAGAGTTGTACCAATATAAAGGTACTTTATATCAGTATAGTGATACCCATACAGGGTGGAGAATAAGCTACACTGGTTTGAACCCCTTACACTGGCTTGAACCCCTTGCATTCTCTGTACAGTTTATATCACTATAACTCTTCTAGTAAACAAATTATAGCCAGAATCAAAATCATTTTGCCAGTACAAAAATTGTAGGGGCCTAAATGATCAACTGTTCTTCAGCATTGTTTGTAAACAGGAGAAAGTTTTCTCAGTTGCATCATCCTTCAGCGATTCTCCCAGTCAACAGTAATTTTGAGCAGTCAAGTGAGCATTAAGCCACTAGGCCAACATGCAATTGGACTGTAGAACAAGGAAGTCCTGAAACCCATTCAGGATTTCTACAGCAATTCATTCCCTGGTGAGCTTGTTGAAGATGGTCTCATAGTTACTATACCCAACAGCAGTTACCTTGTACACCTAAGCTGCATGATTAAGGCATCTCAGTATTAACAACTGTAACAGTCATTCTGAGCTACTTAGACCACTTGCAGTTTGGACAAAAAGCATCTTGCAAATCGCACTAGAAGGTGTGCTTAATTTGCTTTATTGCATTAGAATACTTTGTTTGGAGGTGTATTTGCTTTTTTATAGGTTTAAAGATATACATACCTAAATAAAAGTTCTGAGGCATTGTTCACATGCCTTCACAGCTCCCAGTACAGGAGACACCTTGGGGGATAGCCAGGGATAAGTAAGGGCATGGCCACAGATTGACTGCATTTCACCTATTCTCAACTATCGGAAAGACCATAAGCAGCCAACTGTAATTTAGAGGAGCCCAGAGGATGCTTTAAATTTTGCCAGGCCCAAGAAGGCTGACTAGTGCCAAAACAGGACTGTGAAAAGGTAACAAAATCAACTTTCTCCACCCACCTCCAAGGCCTGTGCAGCAGAGCTGATAACTTAAGCCCAAAACATTAGATGTTGATGGCATAATGGTGAGTCTGAGCTTTCCAAAAATGGGAATTATTTATTTTTCATCATGTTTACTTATGCATGCTAGGTGCTGTACAGGTAAATAAAAGACAGAGTCCCTGCCTCAAAGAGCTAACAGTTCAAGTTTTATACACAACTCAGCAAGGATACATAAATAATGAGGTAACAAAATCCAAAGCTTTATTCCAAACTGAGATGATATTTCCTAGATAATGTCAGTGTGTAAAAGTGAGACACTTTTGGGTTTCACGTAAGCTTCGCAGCCTGCAGGAATCAGCAAGTCGTACTCTACTTTTTCCCAATTCTGATTCCAGTCTACTCAGATAAATCTCCTGATTCCACAGAGACAAGGATAATCAGAAATCTTTTCCATCTTAGAGGCTAGTTTTGTGAGTAGCCTGTTGTTGGTCCTCTACAACAGCTGGAACATTCTGTCTAGTGATGAATTTACATTAGTTCACTTTATTAACATTTGCAGATGGAAATATTTCTGATGAAAAAAGACTCAGAATAATTGAGATGAACCAAAAAGGTGCTTACATCACAGTTCTGAAATTATCCAACTTTCCCTTCCGTTTCATTGTGAGGACAACTTTGGCCCTTCACCTCTTTCCTATTAGTCTCTCACTTGTCTCTTGGAGTATCATTAAACTGGTTTAGTTAGTAGTAGTAACTGCTGAGTTTGAGATTTGTCTGACGACCTGCATGACATAATAATCTCTCACAATCAAATCAGACTCTAGCCACAATTACCAGCTGTGACAAGTGAGCTGACATGTTTATGATTCGTTATGAACGAGGGGAAAAATTATGACTGCTTGGAAGAAAATCACATTTCTAGGCTTTGTTTCCATCCAGACAAAGCTTAAAAATTGAGACATTCTATTTCAGGCATCTGGCTTTACTTTCCCTCCATCCCAGCAGTTTTACCTCATCTCTCTGCATCTTCCTCATTACCAGACCTTCAGAGGCTCAAAAGCAAATGCACTTTGGCAGATCAAGAAGTACAACGATCATACGTTTCCATGAAACAAAGTGGAGCTGACATATACCATCAGGAATGGGAGACCTTGCTCACCAGGTGTGTTAGTAGAGATGGGGACCTCCTTTTTTAAACTTGAGAGGCAGATGTCAGGAGATGCCCACAGAATAATGAAACTTCTACACAAACTGCCCATAAATGCTGTCCCACTTGTTCATGGCTCTGGGTTAATCTTTGTATTGAAAATATCAGAACTTCGATACCTAAACCATATCATGGGTGCACACCTTCAGGTGACAGCATTTCTAGCGAAACCCTTCTCTCATTTTTGCTTACAGTGTCGAATGTCAGGACGGGTACATGCTATAAACAGTTTTCTAATCCGACAGTGCAAATGCACTTTAAATCAAGAAGAAAAAAAAATCAATGGCTCAGAATGGGTCCATTTAAATGCAGCATAAATCAAATCTAGGTATGCAAATGAGATAGTAAAAATAAGTGCATATAGATATTCCATTAGGATTGGGCATCTTTAGAAAACTGACAAGTGAGAAAATAATAATCTTCTACCACCTTATACATTAAAACAGGAATGCAATGCCAGTTACTAAGATCCTGCAAAGGCTTTGGATGGGAAGGAGAACACTTACAAAGCTCAGGAAACATGACTCCAGCAAGGTAAATGGACTTATTAAAAGCTAGTAGAGGAACATGTTTTGGCTAAAATGTGACAGATTATTTTGATACCTATGTAAGAAGGTTTGGAAAAGTCAAACGCAGGAGCCCTAGTGGGTCAAAACTAGAGAGGTTATGTGACTTGCACAGAATACACAGTGAATCTGTGACAGTCACAAAGCTAGGAATAAGCCCAGAGTATCTAGCTCATGGTCTTGTGCTCTGACCACTAGACCATCTTCCTCTGGCATATATACCCTGTTTTTGGAAAGTATAGTTAAAGAAAATAGTTTGTTAAGTAGCTTAAAACAACCAGATGTGGTGTTAGATTCTGATTTAGCAATTGTTGAACAAAAGAACAGGTGGTGAAGTAACACTGAATTAAAAAGTCACCACACAGAATAATTAAAAAAATTCTAGTTCCTAATTTTGTATTTAATTAAGGCTCCTAAGTACCTTGGAACATTAACATAGTTTGGTACAGCCTGCTGTCCCTGATAGTCCAACCTCTGAAAGTAGCCTGTGGATACAGAGCTGTTAGGCTTTATCAGCCATATCACCCCCCCACCCCGCACTCTCTGCCCTTCTGGGGTGATGTCCCAACACTTCCTTGAGCACTGGGGCTCCAATTGTGAGTAGCCCTGGCATTATGTGTGTAAGGGGAAGGCTCTTTGGGCACACTTCCTCATTACTCACACCCATTTCAGTCACACACTGTCTCTCAGACATTAAAAGCCATATTTTTCTCTCTCTGAATGCAAGGAAGGATCACGTTTGTGTAACGGAAGGTCAAATTTGGGCCTAAGGGTATGTCTACATTACCGGCCAGATCGGCGGGCAGCAATCGATCCAGCGGGGGTCAATTTATTGCGTCTAGTCTAGACACAATAAATCAAGCTCTGAGCGCTCTCCCATCGACTCCTGTACTCCAGCACTGCGAGAGCTGCAGGCAGAGT